GTGAGTGTGTGACTGTGTGAGTGTGTGACTGTGTGTGATTGTCTGTGATTGTCTGTGTGAGTGTGTGACTGTCTGTGTGTGACTGACTGTGTGAGCGTGTGACTGTGTGTGTGTGTGTGACAGTGTGTGACTGTCTGTGTGTGACTGTGTGAGTGTGTGACTGTGTGAGCATGTGACTGTGTGTGACTGTCTGTGTGAGTGTGTGACTGTGTGAGCATGTGACTGTGTGTGACTGTCTGTATGAGTGTGTGACTGTGTCTGTGTGTAACTGTGTCTGTGACTGTCTGTGTGAGTGTGTGACTGACTGTGTGTGTGACTGTCTGCCTGTGTGTGTGACTGTCTGCCTGTGTGTGTGTGTGTGTGTGTGTGAGTGTGTGGCTGTCTGCCTGTGTATGTGTGTGGCTGTCTGCCTCGGTGTCAGTGACTGTCTGCCTGTGTGTGTGTGTGTGTGGCTGTCTGCCTGGGTGTCAGTGACTGTCTGCCTGTGTGTGTGTGTGGCTGTCTGCCTGGGTGTCAGTGACTGTCTGCCTCTGTGTGTGTGTGTGCGCGCATCTGCTAGTGAGGGAGCCTCTGTGTGTGTGTGTGCCTGCTAGTGAGTTTGTGTGTGTGTGTGTGTGTGTGCCTGCTAGTGAGTGAGCTTGTATGTGTGTCAGTGAGCTTGTCTGTAGGGATCATATGTGTGTGTGTTAGTGAGCTTGTCTGTAAGGAGCATGGGTGTGTCGGAGCCTGTCTGTGGTTAGCATGTGTGTACAGTGAGCTTGTCTGTAGTAAGCATGAGTGTGATCGTGAGCTTGTCTATAGTGAGCATGTGTGTGTCAGTGAGCTTGTCTGTAGTGAATCTGTGTGTTAGTGAGCTCTTCTGTAGGGAGCATGTGTGTGTCAATGGGCTTGTCTGTAGGGAGAGTGTGTGCGCATCAGTGAGCTTGTCTGTAGTGAGCGTGTGTGTGAGACAGTGAGCTTGTCTATAGTAAGCTGTGTGTGTGTATCAGAGTTTGTCTGTACTAAATTTGTGTGTGTGCCAGTAACCTTGTCTGTGTGTGTCATTGTCTGTCAATGAGCCTATTTGTGTGCATCAGTAAGATTGTCTGTCTGTGTGTGAGTATGCTCCTACTGTATAATTTAATTAACCTAAAAGAACTAATATTTTGAATTAGAAGAAGAAATGTATCTATATATATATATATATATATATATATATATATACTGTTGCATCACCAGGGCTCCAGTATCCAGTATATATATAGGCAATTGAAATAGTTGGCTGCACTCTCGGATTTCCTTAAAATTTTACTTTTATTTAAATATTTAAGAGAAGATCAACGTTTCAGTCCCTCTTGTGGACTTGCATCAGGATCGTGACGAAAGTCCACAAGAGGGACTGAAACATTGATCTTCTCTTAAATATTTCAATAAAAGTTACATTTTCAGGAAATCCGAGAGTGCAGCCAACTATTTCAATTGTGTGTGTGTGTATATATATAAATAAACACCCTACATAGCACAATGACTTATGGGGCTGGCATAGATTTTTTTCCAGGGCTGCTTTGTATCCCCAGTCCGGCCCTGCTGGGAAGGGGATCGCAGTAGTCAATGCGAGAAAGAACAACGGCATGGACCAGCCCCTTAGACATGTCTAGTGTTAAATAGAGGTGTGTAATGGAATTATAATGATAGGTACTTTGACCCCCCCAAGTCTCCCCCCCCCCTTATGTCCTAATGTTTTCTTTTTATATAAAACCATTGAAATATGCTTAGTTCTGTAATTTCCTTTTATGGTACAGTGTGACTTCACCCATCCAGTTTTTGGTGCGCAAGTCACAAAGCTGTCTTTACAAAGTACTATATAATCTGTAAGCTTATACAATAAAACAGGGAAGTAATCTTTGAATCAAGAACTGTCTGGTCTGCTTACTTTCTCCGAGCAGCTCGTAATAAAAGGGTAAATTTGGTTTCCACCTGAACATATCTCCGGGTAAATTAATATCTATTTCAGGTGGATGCGAGCTATGTTTTTAAGATGTAAGGGGCAATATTTGGCGATAGACCGGACACGAGGGGTGAAGCAGAGGTTGGAGTCAAAGAGAACACCTTGGCAGCGAGCCTGCGAGGTAGAGGTAATGGTGGCGCTGTTGACTTGGAGGGAGACAGACATGGGAGTAGCAACACTTGAGGGAGGAAAGACCAGAATTTCTGTTTTGGACTGAGAACAAAAGGGGACCAAGGACAGAACCCTGGAGAATGCAAACAGAGAGTGTTTGGGGAGAGGAGACAGATCCAGAAAAACAAACACTGAAAAAGCGCTGGGAGCAGTAGGATGAGCACCAGGAGAGAGTAGTATCTTATAGACCGAGATTACAGAGAATGAGAAGAAGCTGTTGATGATCAACAGTGTCAAAGGCGGCAGAAAGATCAAGGAGAATTAGGATAGAGTAATGGCTGTGAGGTTTAGCAGCAATTAAATTGTTGGATACTTTGGACACAGCTGTTTCAACAGAGAGACGAGCTCAGAATCCAGCCTGAAATGGGTCAAGCGGAGAGTTGGATTCTAAGAATTCTGTCAATCTCGCATACACAACTCCCTCGAGAACGGCATTAATGCTGCCTTAAGTAAAATTAAGATAATATACACCCATTAGGATAAAATACACTCCTTGTGAGTGTATTTTATCTTAATTTTACCTAAGATATTGTATATACTGCAGTACACTATTGGTGGTTTATTTTGTCTTTTATACCATATAAGACACCAACAACAGAATTCCTCATCTGCACTAAGGTTTTGTCTACTTGAACACTAAGGAGGATAACAGACTGACCTGCAAAAAAGCACTATCTTGAAAAGGTTTGTATCTCCAAAATATACTTTTTTTGCTGGGTATCTTTATATATATTGCTAAATCTCAATATGTTTTATTTATATTATTGTACATATATATATATGGTTACCTAGTATTTCTTATTTGGCAAAGTCTGTTTTTTTTCTAAATTTGGGGGTTATTAGGGTATCCAATTAACAGAGCTTCTACTGCAGCCTATGTGGTTAACACGGTATCTCTCTTTCTTTTTTTGTTTTATTTATTTTGAATTTTTGCAGTGCATCGTCCCTAATTGGTGTGAGGTAATAGTGTCTTGATCCAAGGAGAGATCTGAATGTCATTCTGGGGTCAGCAAGGATTTTTTTACTACTTTTTTGCCAAATTGGAAACACTTTAAACTCTGGTTTTTTTTGCCTTCTTTTGGATCAACAACCAAAACAAATGTGAGGAAGGCTGAGCTTGATGGATGCATGTCTCCTTTCAGCTCTGTAACTATGTAACTATGTAACTTATAGTTCTGGAAAAACACTTGCTATTTACAGGACTATCTGTTTCCTTTAAGCAATAAGGAAATTGACAGACTTCTATTTTCAGTAATTTGAACATAAACCTCACATTCTTGTAATCTGGATTCCTGCAGGAGCAAAGTACAGTAATAGAAACACAGACTTTGCTTTTCTCCGATTTCACATACACACAGTCTGCCATGGAGGAACTAGCTAAAATTAGACGTAAAATTAAAAAATTTAGTTTTGATAACAATAATGGGTATTCTCGATTACTGATTCAGCTCTTTGGTTTGGCTGGTAATGGAAAATCCTCCTTTATCAACACCTGCAAATACGTCTGGGACGATGGAGTATTTATCAATCATACTGAAGCATGGAGTGATAACTATGATAAAGATGGAGGATGCACCATGGAGAGAATATCCTACCCACTCACAAAGACCATCACGCTGGTGGATAACCGTGGCTGTAAGACAATGGACAGTTACGAGACTGGAGAACTCTACGCTCAGCTCGGTAAGTAAATGGGGTGGTAAAACGTTTCTGCTGATAAAGGTTATTAAATGCCTGAATCATGCAGGCAGGACTAGAGTTTCATTATTCCTTTATGTACTGACACAATATAAATAATTATATTGTTCTCTACTTTAATATCTGAAATAATTTACGTAACCTTCATCATTTTTATTAATACAATTCCATTAAATGTTACATATACATAGGGCTTCAGAAAAAAAAAATCTTGGCTATTGTTGGAAAGAGAAAGAAAATGCAAAAAAAACAACTAGTGGCCTATGAAGTAACATATGTACAACATTACAATAATGAAGGTAGTTTAAATGTCAATTTTCCTCCCACCGGGACATATAGAATCTCTTTTCATCACCCGATGATTATATTCTATTAAATCACAGGTAGACAAACCTACCAAACAAAATGACTTGAAATAGCTATTTATTTAAAAATAAATTAGAAAAAGTTAAAATTTAGCAGGTAATCCAAACGTAATCAATTAATAGGAATAGGATCATGATATAAATCAATAGAACGTCACTCAACATTTAGTACTTTGCACCCAAAATAGCACCCATTCTGTCTTGATAAATCTGCATCTAGTCTTTATTTTTTATCAGAATACTTTTGCATTAATAATGTTAAATGACTTCAGTATGTGTATCCGTAAATTGATCACATTTAATCTATCGATAATCCACATGCGCAATGTTTTGGGACGACGTAAGAAACGGTTAGTGAAAAGCCAGGTACACATCTTAATATCTGTATTTATTGAGATACTCAGGAAAAAAAGCAAGTTGATTTCCATAGTTAAAATATTGAACATTTTATGGAAACAGTTATAGTGAACTGATAAATCATTCGAACATTAAAGAATGAGTTCAAATATCGATTTCCACATAATTGTATGGAATTAACCTGCTTTCTATAATTCATTTTTTATTCAGCTAATTTATTACCCCTGGATAAGTCGGTGACGTGGAGCAAAGATTATCAGCTGGTGGAGAAAATAAACAGGTCGGAAGGTTATGTACAAATCTCTGATTTTATTTTTCCAGCATTTGTGTACAGGTAAGAGAAATGCTATGCCCCCTGTCCTTATTCTACGACTAACTGTGTATACAAGTCAAAGATCAATAACTAACAGATATCCTCATCAATTACAAGAAAGAGAAGGAACGTGAATAGCAAACTACAGGGCGCTTGTTTCCTTGAATCAGTGTGTGATAAACACTAAAAGGGCTAGACTGGAAACGGAGGGGCACATTTGTTTATATTACTGTTTATACGAGTTCTTGTTTGTCATGTATAGTGTCATGATAAAGGATTTCTCCCCTTCCTGACTTCCTCTGTGTTTACATATTTTATATCAAATGGTTTCTCATCTTCATACAAAATACAGCAGAACAAATAGAACCTGATTAGACAAAAATATATTTTTTAAAACAATAATTAAGGAATGCTTAAAGGGACACAGTACAACAGGGGTGCCCAATAGGTAGATCCCTAGATGTTTTAAAACTACAAATTCCATGATGCTTTGTCATTCTAAAAGCATGCAAAGCATCCAGGGAGTTGTAGTTCTACAACATCTGGGGATCTACCTATTGGGCACCCCTGATATACAGAGCAAAAAACAACAAAAACCAAGGTGCATGAGAATACTGTGAATGGACAACAGCTGAAATAGCCTGCCCTTCGGTGGGTCCCCGCTAAGATCTCAAGCTGGTTTTAGCTTGGTATAGCACCTCTGCTACACAGCTTTACTTATTATACTAAACAACTTTATCTTAATGAAGTAGCTTTGCTGTATAGATCATGCTCCGAGTCCCGTAGTCTCACAGCTCAGTTCTCTGCCATTTAGGAGTTAAATCACTATTGTTTCTGTTTATGCAGCCCTAGTCACACCTCCCATGGCTGCCTGCATACTTCAAAATGAAATTCTAAATTAAACACACTGAGCAAGAAAGGGAAGATAAAAAAAATGATTTAAGTATACCAGGAAGCTGTGTTAGTCCCAGCAAAATCTAAGATCTGTCCCATTTGTTGGATGAATGACATAATGACTGAATAATTGTGTAGCTCCTTGCTTAAAATACCCATTGTTATATCATCTTAATAAAGTAATTGGGCCTTTTAGTTTGATCCCTGCAAAGCATAGCATTACAAGTTTGTAAAAACAGTAATGTTTACAATTCAGCGTTAAACACACCTCTACTGTGGGTATTATTGACAGTCACGAGAAGCACTTACCCAGTGTCAGACTTGGTTCTCAATTAAATGGTGCTCCTAATGACTGACCCCAGTGCTTACCTATCGGACCAGGGCACATGGGGAGTAAAGGATAGTAAAATTCAGCTTTTACACCATAGTAGGGAGTGGATACCAAAAGAGGTAGACTAAATCTATAACTTGATAATAATGACAACCTATACAGACTAAATTATCACTTTCTGCCTTACGTGTATCCCCACAGTGCTAACCACAGCAAACCACATTCATAATTCAATAGATGGTAATAAAGGAAGGTGGTAAGGAAAGTTAATATGTGCATATAATGATACACTGTATTTACAGATGTACCCCATGTTACCAAAGAAATAGTTTAATGCTGGTTAATGAAAAAGATATCTATAATTTGTAAAACGTATCTTGCAAATGAAACCACTGTTTATTAATTAATCATTGTTAAACCTCATATATAAGAGAGCGAATATCATAGCATAGCACAATTTATTTCAAATTACAGAAATACAAGATGAAAAAAGGTTTACACTATAAAAAGTGGGATACTGCAAAGGTTTTAAACCTACAAAAATTATCCACTCGTTACCACGATCACTTGCTATGCACTATGGGGTACTGAGTTGGCCAAGCATCGCCAAAATATAACTAAATGTATAACTTTTTTGATATGCGTTTTTCTGGAATTTTTTTGTTTTGTTTTTCTGTCTCTTAATGTTAAAACACTTACCATTAAAATTCTAGACTGATCATTTCTTTGTCAGTGGGCAAACGGTCAAAATCACCAGGGGATCAAATGCTTTTTTTCCCTTCACTGTAGTAGGGATATCAAGAGAAGGGTGGTAGGAATCAGAACCAAGGTCGTGAACTGGTTATCAGACAGCAAACAGGTCACTATGGAAAAACAGCAACTGAGGAGGAAAAGCAAAAAGAGTTCAGAAACACAGCAGACCAGCTGGAGACTCAATAATTAAGCATTGCTTAGTTGGAGGTCTGGGTTTAAATAGACCGTTGATGGGTGGATACTCAGTAGATCAGTCCTGACTATGGAGAGATTCTGACACTATCAGTCCATGTTCTGAGAAGCAGGACAATGATCTAAAACAGAAATCAGCTCACTCACAGATCGTGTGTGTGTGTGTGTGTATATATAGAATGTATGTCATCATAAAAATTATCTTGCGTGAGCAAGATATATAAATAATATATAAATAATATTAATAAAGTGGTTGATTTATATTTCCAGGTAAGAGCCCAATGAATGATCCCTAGTCTATCCTTCACCTCACTGCCAGCAGGGTGATGGGCAATTAAGGCCTTTTCCTATTTGCCCCGGGGCCCAAGAGATTCCCACTATGCTAGGCCCATTGACTAAGTGGGCATTTCCTCGGCACCTTTATAAAATATCTATGGTCTTTGCGAGGTGCAGGAGTAGCCTACTTAGATATATGGGACAATTTCAGAGCTCTTTGGGGGTCATATATAGGAATAATAAATGGTCCAGGAGACTGGGCATCCCCTGGGTCCTCTCAGGGAGATACATGTTTTAAAAAGGAGCCAGGAGACTAGGTATCTCCTGGAAGCTTCAGAGGCCAGGACTGTTATAAATAAAGTGCCCCAATAGCCCTAAAGTGGCCCTATTGAGCCCCTTTGGCAGGCCATAGATTTTATATAACGCTAAATTGGGAATTTGTTGGTAACAATATCTCACAAATGTTAATAACAGCAGTTTATGTGTAGTCTGAGTTTGTACATCTTTAATGGATTGTCTGAAAGTGATGATTACATCCTTATAATGTGTATCATAGTTTAGATTTATGGTTATTTTTTATCAAGTCCATTCAAATTTGACATTTACTTTTTAACATATTATTTGATTCTGAGTACTTTTCCCCCCTTAATACCAGGATCACTCCTGAGACTGTTTTGATGTTTAAATATATATCCTGATTAAGGGTTCTCTCCTTCACTCCTAGAGCAGGTTTTAAGGAAATTCTAACCATTCATTTAGTAACCTGACAGCTAAGAAGTAGCTCTCTCATCCACTCACTGAGCCAGCAAGAAAACATCAACTGTTCTCTAGCAGCAAAAAGTTAGAAGCAATGAAGTGTTATTTATTTTCTATTCCTTGCTAAATCCCCTTGTTTTGCATTTTTTTTTTTTGGTAGTGCAAAAAGGTCCATTACTCAGGAAGACAAAGATATATTCACGGAAATCTTTTCAAAGGCAAGAGATATAACAGGTAAATATTGTAACCTTTTATCCAATGTCATGTTTTGTTAGTTGATACTGTAAAGCGATAACACCATTACCATGAAGGGTTGTACGTGGTCTGCAACAATCTCCAGGTATGTGCCCAAATAACATCCACAATGATGCCAGGACCCAAGATTTCCTGGCAGATGTACTTCCAAACACGCCACTGTTACAAATGGGTAATAGTGTGCCTGCTATTTCCAGATCACATGTTATAAATCCAGCCCACCTGGTACTAGCGAATCTTAAAAAGGACATCCTGAAAGGCTAGGACGTTAATCTCGTCTCCCTTCTGATTGTCTCCCAGGATGTTGTTGAGAATCGCACTTACGCATATGGGGATATCGCTGTAGTTCTTTAATCAAGAGACCCTAGACTCAGCAAGAAGCTGTCGATCCCAGATTTTGTTATCGCTTTTGGTATCCATAGGGATGTTTTGTGTTCGGTTCACCCACATAAAAGGGAAGAGCTGGACCTGTATATGCACAAGTTGGTTGACCTAGGCAACAAATACAGGAGTACGTCCTTTTATAACTACCACCAGTCATTCTCAGAGAGGGCATCTGCAGCTCTGGCCCAGTACAATGTCAATATGGATTGGAGCCAATAGGAAACAGAGCTTTTTTGCAGACACTTTGCTGGGTTAAGGAGCTCAGCTTGTGCAATTTGCTCTGCACATTCGGCTAATTTCTGTCCAGTTTCACCTGACGTCACACCCAGTACAGCAACCCCAAACACCTCAAGGGTTGATAAACAGGGAAAAGATAAACTAGGCTGCCCAATCGTATACCTTGGGAAGTCACAGATGTCTAAGAATTTTAATGAAGGTCATAGTGCCTGTCGTCTGTAGCATGTGTGATCTCACTGTTTCAGGGCACATGCGAAAACCATGTGCCCTAATAAAAACACATTATAAACCTTACTTGACCTTGGTTACTGTTGGTATGCTAGCTATCCTACTGTCCAAGAGAAATGGGATTATTTAAAAGTTGCACTGCTGAAGGCAACAGAAAATTGTATTAGGCTTGTCAGTAAAAGCAACAAATTCAACAAACCACTGTGGTACTCTACAGATGTGGCCAAAATAGTAAAAAACTAAAAGTTAGCATTTAGTAATTATAGAAAACCCCAGAGTGAGGAAGACAGAGTGATCTATAAAATTAGGCAGAAAGAGGCTAAGCAAGTTATAAGAGCTTCCAAATCACACACAGAAGAGAAAATAGCACAGTCAGTAAAAAAAGGGGACAAAACATTGTTTAGATACATAAATGAAAAAAGAAAAGTAAAACAAGGATTAGTTAGATTAAAAACAAAAGAAGGAAGGTATGTAGAAGAGGATAAAGGTCTAGCTGACTGCCTCAATGAATATTTTTGTTCTGTATTTACAGATGAAAATGAAGGAAAGGGACCTCAGTTAGGAAAAAGGACAAATGAGTCATTTATTACATGTGAGTTTACAGAGGAAGAGGTCCTATTTCAACTGTCAAAAGTAAAGACAAATAAGTCAATGGGACCTGATGGCATACACCCAAAGCTATTAAAAGAGCCTAGTGATGTACTAGCAAAACCATTAACAGATTTATTTAACCAATCATTCTTAACAGGAGTAGTCCCAGAAGATTGGAAGTTTGCGAATGTTGTGCCCATTTACAAGAAAGGTAATAGGGAGGAGTTGGGCAACTATAGGCCAGTAAGCCTTACTTCAGTAGTGGGGAAAGTGATGGAAACCATGTTAAATGATAGGATTGTTGAACATCTAAAATCACATGGATTTCAAGATCAGAGACAACATGGGTTTACTTCAGGGAGATCATGCCAAACTAATCTTATTGATTTTTTTGATTGGGTAACTAAAATTATAGATCAGGGTGGTGCAGTAGACATTGCTTACCTAGATTTCAGTAAGGCCTTTGACACTGTTGCACATAGAAGGCTTATCAATAAACTGCAATCTTTAAGTTTGGATTCCAATATTGTTGAATGGGTAAGGCAGTGGCTGAGTAACAGGCAACAGAGGGTTGTAGTTAATGGAATATATTCGAAGCTTGGACTTGTCACCAGTGGGGTACCTCAGGGATCTGTACTTGGACCCATTCTCTTTAATATTTTTATTAGTGATATTGCAGAAGGTCTTGATGGTAAGGTATGTCTTTTTGCTGATGATACTAAGATATGTAACAGGGTTGATGTTCCAGGAGGGATAAGCCAAATGGCAAATGATTTAGGTAAACTAGAAAAATGGTCAGAATTGTGGCAACAGACATTTAATGTGGATAAGTGTAAGATAATGCATCTTGGACGTAAAAACCCAAGGGCAGAGTACAGAATATTTGATAGAGTCTTAACCTCAACATCTGAGAAAATGGATTTAGGGTAATTATTTCTGATGACTTAAAGGTAGGCAGACAATGTAATAGAGCAGCAGGAAATGCTAGTAGAATGCTTGGTTGTATAGGGAGAGGTATTAGCAGTGGAAAGAGGGAAGTGCTCATGCCATTGTACAGAACACTGGTGAGACCTCACTTGGAGTATTGTACACAGTACTGGAGACCGTATCTCCAGAAGGATATTGATACTTTAAAGTGAGCTCAGAGAAGGGCTACTAAACTGGTTCATGGATTGCAGGATAAAACTTACCAGGAAAGGTTAAAGGATCTTAACATGTATAGCTTGGAGGAAAGACGAGACAGGTGGGATCTGATAGAAACATTTAAATACATAAAGGGAATCAACACAGTTAAGGAGGAGACCATATTTAAAAGAAGAAAGACTTCAACAACAAGAGTACATAGTCTTAAATAAGAGGGACAAAGGTTTAAAAACAATATCAGGAAGTATTACTTTACTGAGAGGGTAGTGGATTCATGGAATAGCCTTCCAGCTGAAGTTGTAGAGGTTAACAAAGTAAAGGAGTTTAAGCATGCGTGGGATAGGCATAAGGTTATCCTAACTATAAGGTAAGGCCAGGGACTAATGAAAGTATTTAGAAAATTGGGCAGACTAGATGGGCCGAATAGTTCTTATCTGCCGTCACATTCTATGTTTCTATGTTTCTGTGTCCACACATCCTTCAAAACACTTTGTGGATTTCTTGATAACTGTTTTTACGCAGGGTTTCCACACAGGCCTTTTCCACAAGCCAACAGGGGTATTGGAATGTAACAATCTTCAGTCAGCCATGGCCGATACCAAGGCAGTGGAGGTACTATTACAGCTAGAGGTTGAGCAAGGGCCTTTCACGCATCCTTTTTCCAGCTGGAGAACTAATCCCATGTCTCCAGGAAAACTCTAGCAAACAAAGACTGATCATAGATCTCTCAGCACCACACTACTCACAGGTCCCAAGTCTAAACTCACTGATCCTGTAAGAAGAATTCTCTCTACAGTACACAACAATTGACAATGCCATAAATGCTATCTTGACTGCAGGCATTGGGGCCTGGCTCAGCAAAATCGACATTGTCAACGCCTTCAAGTTATTGCCTATTCACCTATCGTTATGGCACCTGCACGGTATTAAATGGAATATCCTGTATTATTTTTTCACTAGGCTTACCTTCGGGTCGAAGAGTAGTCCTAGAATTTTTGATACTTTCTCGGAGACATTGTGTTGGCTCTTTCTGAATACGTGTTGATGCCATACGGTCATCCACTATCTAGATGTTTTTTTATTTATTGAAAGCATTTCTTCCCCCTTGAGCAGCTTGGATAAAGCAGTCACGTTATTAAACACACTAGGGGTACCAGTATCACCAAAGAAAAAAGAGGGTCCTGACACCTTTATTAATTTCTTAGGGATACACCTGGATTCGGTAACCATGAAAGCTAGTGTTCCACAGGAGAAAGTCACTAGCATCTTCCACGATATCAACCATTACATGCATACCAGCTCCTGTAACCCGAAATGGTAGAGCTTTAATCTTCAGGCTCCTGAGCCTACTCCCCACATTCCCTGATGACCTAAGCCATATCTCGCTTAACGCCCAAGCCACTGCGAACCTCCTCAAGTGGCACACATTTCTCTTTGGCATGTTTTTCCTGCAGGTTTCCGTACACTCCCTGGTCATTTGGACAGATGCAGCTGCTACCACAGGCTTTGCAGCCATATTTGGTAACAAATGACTCTGGGGTAATTGGCCAGTGGAAGTACAATAAATGTAGGGGTTCTACAGGAACTCTGCTCTTTTTAAGGTTTACCCTATTGTGGCGGCAGCAGTGGCTTGGTGCCATTTGTGGTCAGGCAAAACAGTTCTGTGCTATTCAAACAATCTGGCGATTTGCCACATTACTAACAAAGGCCGCTTGTATTCATTGATGATTATGAGGTTCATCAGGAAACTGATGTGGCTAGAGGCCCGCAACCAGTTTTATTTGGTGTGCTGCCGTGTCCCAGGAGTTCAACACGGCAGCTGATCGCTTGTCTCGCTTTCAATTTCAGGCTTCCCGAAAATCCTTACCCGCGGCTTCCACGGCTTTATGTCTGGCCACATTAGCCCCCTCTTCCAGGACCCAATCATGGATTAGGCAAATTACTACAACACACCTCCTCCTCTAACACACTTACTGCGTTTTTCCTTATACAGGAAATTCATGACAGAACATCACCTGCATAGCAAGTCTGAAATAACATCCCTGGTGGCGTTCTCCACTTTTTGCCACCTCAAGTTAAGTTATCCCACAGCACAATAAAATTATACCTGACAGGCAACCAGCATCATATGTATTCCACCTTCCCCAACAACTCCAGTTTTCTGTCCTCATACCCTATCAGGACCATACTTAAGAGCATATTAAAGGCTATTATATAAAGTCCAACACCACAACAATGGCTACCCATCAGCAAACAGTTGTTCAAAGATATGTCTGATCTAATAGATTCAGCCCCTTTTGAAACCCCCCAATCTAATTCATAAAAACCGCCATGTACCTGTTTTTCTACGGCTTCCTGAGGCCACAGGAATTCACCACCAGTGGACAACATGAAGCAAATTATATACTTACTCTACCCATTACCAAAACAAGCCACATATCGTATTATCCCACAAACAATAGCTGGTGCCCTGTGAAAGTTTTTGAGTCCTACCTACTCACCATACCAAATCCCAGTTCATATCATTAAGTTGCTTGGTCGCTGGATATCAGCAGCCTATACAACAAACATACCTCAACCGGTACAGGAAATGCAAATGTCTTCATAATTGTACCTACGTTGAATTTTGTTCTTTCTCAATAAATGTATTTTGAACATATTATGTCTTCCATTTTGCCCACTTTTATTACTGGCCTACAGCATATGTCGGTTTTGGCACACCTCAACCGTCTTTTTCTATCACAAGTTCCTTTCACCAATGTTACTTCCATCATAACCGATGTAGCCCCCAACAAAAATGGGAAGGCTTGGCCTGAAGATGTGGGAGGGGCTTTGAACCTTTAAAAAGCATTCCCCCCTTCCCTAATCTACCATGACTGGTCTGACGATCTGCTACCCTACCCTCCACTTCCTTTATTCAACGTACTCTACTAGTGTAAGCCCACTTTTATTACTGGCCTACTGCATACGTCGGTTGCGGCACACCTCAACTGACTTTTTCTATCACAAGTTCTGTTCACCAATCTTACTTCTATCATACCCAATGTAGCCCCGAACACAAATATGTATATTTATTTTTTTACTTTCTTTTAGTAGGTTATAGGTTTTTCTATAACCTAGCCGAGGGAACAGCCCCTCTAGTACGGGTGGGGTTAAGAAAGTAAGAAAAGCCAGACAGGTACTCTCCATCATTAAGAGAGTAGATATGGGAATCTGACTTTCTGATCATCTCAACTGGACAGTTTGCTGTCTCCCGGTGGTTGAATCCAGCTTGTTGCGGACAGAGTGAATGGATTATTGGGAGGGGTAGGGATGACTCAGCTGTCATAGTCCATGTTGGTACCAATGACAAAGTCAGAGGAAAATGGAAGGTCCTAAAGAATGAGTTCAGGGAATTAGGAAGTAAACTGAAGAAAAGGACCTACAAGGTAATTTTTTTAGAGATTTTACCTGTGCCACACGCTACAGTAGAAAGGCAGCGTGAGATTAGAGAGGTCAATGCGTGGCTAAAGTCATGCTGTAGGAAGGAGATTTGGGGCTCTTTTTGAACACTGGGATGATTTTGCGCTTTGGTACAATCTTTATAGCCATGATGGATTGCGCCTAAATGGGAGAGGGTCTGCAGTGCTTGACGACAAGATGGCTAGAAGGTTGGAGGAGATTTTAAACTAGTGGTGGGGGAGGAGAGTCATAGACAAGTACAAAATGGAGATAGGATAGAAAAAAAGATGGACTTTTTGATGGACGCAAGTCTCTTTTCAGCTATGTAACTATGTAACTATGTAATGATGTTAGCGCAATATAAGGGGATGGAGATGGGGGAACGGCAAGCTTAGAACAGCAGAGCTATATAATAGTAATAAAAATTCCCATAAATTAGTGACCTCTGATAATTTTAAATGTATGCTTAGTAATGCAAGAAGCCTAAATAACAAAATGGGGGAACTAGAGGCATTAGCATACCCTAAACGATATGATATAATAGGCATAACAGAAACATGATGGGATGAGACACATGACTGGGCAGTTAACTTAAATGGGTACATGTTATTTAGGAAGGATAGGAAAACCAAGAAGGGTGGTGGGGTATCTTTGTATGTCAGCCATGAGTTAAAGCCAAATCTTAAGCTAGTGGTATGTGATGAGGAAAATGTGGAAGCTTTATGGATAAATATCTGCTTCGAGCAAAAGAAGGGAAATCAGTTATTGTTTGGTATAGGTTATAAACCACCTAATGTAAATATTAATGAGGAACAACAGCTGTTAGAGCAAATTGAGAAAGCTGGGTAACACGTTAATTATTGGAGATTTGAATTACCCGGACATGAACTGGGACAGAGGGACTAGTAGCTCAGGAAAGTGAAGCAGATTTTTGACCCTGCTAAATGACAGAACTGGTATAAGAAGCAACAATAAAGGATGTTTGTCTGGATCTGGTTATAACAAGCAATGTTGATATTTTTACCAACATTCAAGATGGGGAGATGTTTGGGAAATAGTGATCACAAAAGGGTGTCTTTTGAAATAAACTCAAGAAAGCAAAACATCATTTTAAAAAGGCCAAGAGCAGCTTAACAACACATCGACTGGCATAAACTCTTTAGTGAAAAGAACACTGTGGATAAATGGAATATCTTCAAGCAAATATTAGAAAGGTACATTTCTCAGTATGTACCATTGGGTGATAAATATCAAATTGAAAGCAATGTGGCTTAGTAGAGAAGTAAAACAAGAGATTAAAATTAAGAAAAGGGCATTTAAAGCATTTAAATTGGACAAACAAGAGGCATCCTATACAAGATATACGGAAGCCTATAATTCATGCAAAAAGGCAATTAAAGTGGCTAAACTAGAAAATGAGAAATTGATAGCCAAAGAGAGCAAAACCAACCTCCAAAAGATTTTCAAGTAAATATATTCTAAAAAAAAAAAAAATTAAAGTATAGGTAGACTGAAACAGAGATGGGCATATTAGTAAATGAGGACATGAAAAAGACAAAAATTATAAATAACTATTTTTTCTCAGTATATATTAATGAGGATCCTCTGGCAATAGCTATGCAAATTATTGCAGCAAAAAATGTGCAGAACATTTTGGAGGTTGGATGACTCAAGATAAGGTGCTATAGCAGCTAAAAGTTAATGTAAATAAGGCTCGAGGGCCTGACGGTATTCACCCAATAGTACATAAGTGTGGCGAAACCGGCCTCGCCATGTGTCCTTGGAGGGGGCTGCTTGCCCGCCTCTTGCCTTTGGACTATGGACCAGACTTTATGTGAATGTGTTAACCCAGATAGCTATGCCATGGAGCCCATTCATGTAGTTAAAGACTTCAGGTCCATGGCAGTTGAACTATGTGAATAGGATCTGAGCGCTATTCGGTAGTTTTGTGCGCTCAGATCCCAGCTATCTGGGGATATGTGACACGTCTGTGTTTTATGTATAAAATGTGACTTTGTGTATTTTATAATATTTTAATGTTTTGTGCTCACCATGTGCATAATGGAGTCGTGTGTCTGTCCTGGGAGATAATTGAATTACTTATCTCCAGGATAGAAGACTCTGAAACTGGTTTGGGCCAGAAAGCCATGCTTCATTAAGTCACAAAGGACTTTCCCTTAACTTTTGAACCCCTGGTCTGATTCGTGCCATTTTTTAATATGTTGTTCCCCTGAATGGATTGATTATGAAAATGTATGTTTTATGTTTGTGTCATGTATATTTTAGAAGTTATAAATATCGTGTAAAAACTGTATTCCTCTGCCGGTGATAATGAGATTACCCATTGTGTTCAGTAATCATATCACAGCCAGAGGGGAGGATTTTGTGTGGGAGTGTCTGGGTGTATTGTACGGATTGATTGGTTGTTTTGTAACGCCCAGTGGGCTGTACTATGTTTGTGGATTGGGAATAAAAGAGACTGTATGTGACAGTACAGGGAGTTCCTGTTTTAACCCTCAAAGTGAAGTGTCGTCTCATTATTGGGGGAAGGATTTATTGTATGCTGTTCCAGTTTGACTGCTAGGAGAGTAAACCTATTTGTATGGTTCCTATTCAACTGTCTACAGCATTCATATGCTTGGGAGAATTTATTTGTTTCTCCGGTTCGGTGATTGTGGTGTCTGCTGCAGTGTTTGGAGTCCTCAGGAAGCGCTAGGAGCATCCTTCAACGGAGGTACCCAGTCGGGGTGCCAGGCGATCCGTTACAATAAGGAACTAAGTATGGAAATAAGAGAACCTTTGTATTTAATCTTTCAAGATTTTTTTGTTGTAGGAATTGTGCTAGAGGGATGGAGGAAGGTAGATGTGGTTCCTATATTTAAAAAGGATTCAGAATCTTTGCCTGGAATGTATAGACCCATGAGCTTAACTTCTGTGGTTTAAGGAAACACCGGTCATGTCAAACTAATTTCATGATATGAAGAAGTAAATAGAAATATAGATCAGGGTGTTGCAGTGGATGTGATTTACTTGGATTTTGCCATCCAGGCAAGGCATTTGATTTGGTTAATCACAGGAAGTTAGTGTTCAAACTAAAAGAAATTGGTCTAGATGAAAATTTTTGTTCTTGGATATAACATTGTCTTAAAAATAGAGCACAGAGAGTCGTCATTAATGGTAAATTTTCAAGCTGGACAAAAGTGGTAAGTGATATACTTCAGTGTTCTATTCTGGGACCGCTTCTGTTTGGGAATTGTTATATACAAACTAGGCAACAATATGCAATGTCAATCTGTGGCTGCTAAGGCCAGTAAGGTATTGTCATGTATTATAATAATAATAATATTCTCGGGATAAGAACATAATTTTGCCTCTTTTTTAAATCACTGGTAAGACCACACCTTGAATATGCTGTGTAATATTGTGCACCTGTTCTAAAGAAGGATATCATGGCACTAGAAAAAGTGAAGAGATGAGCTACAAAGTGGATCAAAGGAATGGAGAATATTAGTTATGAAGAAAGGTTAGCAAATTTAAATATCTTCAGTTTAGAAAAACAGCGTATCAGAGGGGATATGATAACATTATACAAGCCATTGTTTGGAAATCTATTCATAAACAGGACTATACATAGAACATGAAATCACACATTTAGACTGGAAGAAAGGAGATTTAGTCTAAGGCAAAGGAAAGGGTATTTTACATTAGGAACAATAAGGATATGGAATTCTCTGCCTGAAGAGGTTTTTTTCAGAGTCTATACAGATGTTTCAACAACAATTGGATAAATACTTGCAAAAACATAATATAAGGGGGTATAATTTCTAATTAGTGGGGTAATAGCTTCTTGATACAAGGAGATACCTGACTGTCATTCTGGTGTCAAGAAGGAAATTTTTCCTAGTTAGTTGTGAAATTGGAAGCACTTCAGACTGTTTTTTTTCCTTCTTTTGGATAAACAACAAAAACAAATGTGAGAAAGGCTGAACTTGACGAACTCATGTTTCTTTTCAGCTATGTAACTATGTATTTATATAACTGCATAAACTATGTACAGGATGGGCAAATGGTAGATCTCCAACTGGGATAGCATTGTGGATTTGTACAAAAGATAGAGAGCTACCTTTTGGCCACCATTGAGTTAGAGGAGAGGCAAAACAATTGCTTGTACCAAGGCCCTATCTACATTAGTAACTCCACTCTAGTGGTGCTGTAGCTGCAATTGGTGAATAGTTAACTTTCATTGCAGTTACTGGTCCTGTGATCATTTCTACATTTCTATATCTGATAGCACCAGTGTAACTTCATTTAATCATTTCATTAACCGTTTGCACTTTGCAGCAGTGTTGTGCAAGCACAGTGATATTGACTTTGAAATTATTTTTTGGACTCATTAATTTTTTTAAATGAACACATTTTGTAAAAATAAAAATGTATACAATTTTTTTATACTTTTTACATATTTGCCTTTGTATAAACTTTGTTCATTTGTGTACATACGTATAGCCACCACGTATTATTTTTATCAATATATTTTATATTGGGCATTTATGTACAGTGTTTTTTACACAGTTACACATTCTATTGCATTTTCCATTCTTATGTTTTCTCCATTATAAATTGAAGACGTATTAGGTATTGAACAGTTTGCTTTTTGGGCAGGCAGCCCTCACTTAAAATGCCTAATCTTATGAGTATTTGTTGTTACAAGCAAAATCGAAAACAGAAGTGACGCCAAATACCGCAGACTGGAAACGAAGTTGAATTCAGCTGACCGGAAATGACGTCAGACACCACACCGATCAGCACTAACTCAGATGTAATAGATGAGCAAGTCAATTTGGCCGGTATTTAAACAGGGAACATGCAGGTTTTATCAGAGAAGTTGAGACAGACTGAAGGCTTGTCGAAATGTGTCTGATCTCTAAGGGAGTTTTAATTTACTTTCACCTATACTTATAGGAATTTTGATTTTAGTTTGTTTTACATATTTGTCATAGTTTTTTGGAAATAAATAAATTTCAACTGAACCTGGTGCTTCAGATGCCTCGTTAGAAATACCTCTACTGGAGACACCTACAAGTGGTTTCCATTTGCCTATTTAGGCACCATTGAGAGCATTACACAGAGCTTCACAAGGCTCTGCAATATGTGAGTGCGACCACTGATTATCCTTATATCTGGATGTAGTAGCAGTATACACTATGTTTTGTACGTTCTGTTGTTTCAGGCTCTATATTTGAAATCCACAAAAAACAACAGTATTTCTGTCCATAAGTATATTATTTATTTATTGGTTACACTATAAGTGTGTAGGTTACTTTGTGATTTTTAACACTGTGTATGTTTTTATGGGTCACATCTAAGGCATCGGGAAAACATCTATTCACAGCCCTTGTGTAATTTGTAAAAATAAGTATAAGTGTCATACATCTGTCATTATTATATACATTGTTTTACATGCCTTAGTGAGAATAATATATTTTATCTTCACAGGAATATTCCCCATCGTTGTTCTCACTCATAAAATACATGGAGATGCTGATAAGATGGAACATATTTTTAAGAGTCTTGGGGCGGAGCGGATCTTTGCATTTGAGAATTATACCCCAAAGAATAATATGAAGACACGAGGAAGGGTTGAAGACGTCCTAATGTTTCTATATGAAGTTATTAAGGATGTCCAGTTTCGAGTGATAAAACCTATAAATATACAGAGAGATCTGATAAGAAGGAAGGAAATTGTATTTAATTACATAATGCAGAGTGAAGACAAACTAGCAGAGGAGAGAGAGAAAGTGAGGGAAGCAAAACAGAGAATTATGGAGCAAAAATGTAAACGAGAAATTCAACAAAAAAAAGCTAATAAAGAACCTTCACCCCGACAAGTGGATGCAGAACAAAAAAGAGAATCTGTGAGTTATTATATGAGATTAAACCACTATGAAATGGTTGCAACACACAGTGAGGATATTAAAATAGGTCAGAGCACAGAAAACGATCCCAACGACCTGAAGGAGGAGAAGAGGGAACAAGCAAAAAAGGCTATTTTAAATGAGCTTAGAAACCTACAACTAAAAAAAGAAACTTTTGAGAGCGATGTGCCTAAGGGAAAGCAGAAAAAGAAGGAAAAGAAATGAAAGGAAGACAAAGATGATTGTGCCTTACAATAAACTTGCTGACAAACTGTGAATAAATGTAAGAGTAACAAGAAAAAAATACTTTTAATAGAAGATATCGTCATTAGGTTTTGTAATTAACAGGCATTTAAAGTAAGAATAATACTGGGGAAATTTTCCTAAATTAGAGCAATCAGCAGGAACATTTTTCGTGCTCTCATAGTGACTACTCCAATATTTATACTTCTAAATATAGGCTTCAGTTTGTGTAACAGGTATCTGAAATTACATTTCTTAGTACGTTTAATAAGTATTTAAATGAGTATCTCAGCAAATAATCTAAAAAGCCAAGAATCAATAAATTCATTTTCATTGTAAAGAATGTGTAAATGAATCACTGGAAGTCTCTGCCATCTGATCCTCCGTATCATCAGCCACCGGGGAAATCTCCACGACAAACCCACTAAGACTCTAACCACATATGAACATTTTATGGACTTTTAAACAGCAGTGTATTATCTAATTCATACACCTTCGCAACATATAAGAATGTGAACAATTCATGCCGTCCGCTGTGCCATTCACATAATGACAGGACAGTCTAATAAATCAGTGTGAGATAAGGAACAAATAATTTATAAAAATCTTTAGTGACATAATGCCATTTAAATGTAATGTTATTTCACCACAAATACACTTTTTATTGATGAAGTACGTATGGGTCATTGTGAATAAGTGAATGTATCCAACTCTTATTTATATAACTTACTCATATTTGTACAAGTGTAGAAATGCACTCTGGGCTATTTATCAAGTGAGAATTGTCAGTAGTTTAAAGTGAATTTTTGCCAATTTTGTCTGGAAAATACTCCAAGTAACGCTGCTTCCAGTACGTCTGTTTTGACCATAGATTTGAAATTCACTATTGTTGGTATGCCATGATGGAGGTAATTCTCATTCTTGGACTGCTATACAGTATACAGTAGTGAACTCTGTAACATTTCAAAACACCATAAAATCTGTACATGGGGGGGTACTGATGTACTCGTGAGACATGGCTTGTAACGCAACCTTCCGTTGATGGACGCTTCCTAGTTTGCACTGAGGACCACAAGCTCCGCACCGAACACTGCAACCACCACAGACTCTACAACCGCCGTAGCTTAACTGGAGTCTCGCCGTCTTCCTTTCACCCTGGATAAGCTTCTGTCCTCCAGGACCGTGTGGGGAAGACCTCTCCTCCAGGAGAGCGTAACAGGAACAGCTCTTAAAAGAGCTAAGTGATTAAAGCTCAAGGGAGTATACAGAGCATAGCAATCCCCAGTGTGAGTATAGCTGTCCCCTCCAATCACGAGACAAGACTACGTGTTGAGGATCAAGAAGATCTGTTTTACTTGGCACCAAAGGGCCTTCTTTTATGCAGGTTTTACAGATACAGTACCGCCCACAGGGTTTTGTAAAATAACCAATAAAACATGTAACATACAGTAAAACCACACCCATTTACTCCCACAAAATCCTCCCCTCAAAGGCAGGAAAAATATACTTTTTACACATACACTGTGACTTTAAAAATATACATCCAATCTTCACAAAACATACATTTTCGGAACCAGCTTACTTTAAACATAAACCTAACCAAAATTCAGCCAAACTTAAAAAGTTAGCTAGAAGTCATTTATGACCAACCGCAAGCACATTTTCATGCCAAAAACAGTTCCATGGATTTGGGCTGTGCGGTCGGTCTATTTTACACTGAGAAAATGACTCCCATTCGAACAAGCGTTCGAATCTTCGAATGGGACTTAGTCTCCAGCCACAGTGTCGAAGTGCAGGAGATGGTAGGGGTAAGCAGTGTTCGTTGAAATGTGTAGCCGATTTCAGTTCCATGGATTTGGCTACACATACCGCTGACCTCGTTCGAATGAACAAAGATGGCTGCCGCCACTTGTTCGTTTGCACGAACTGCGGCCACCCAGCGGTCGGCAATTTACCTAGAGCAGGCTCCCAGCGGTCGGCAATTTACCTACAGCAGGCTCCCAGCCTGAGAGGTAAATTGCCTGCACACTTCCACTTCTGGGTGGTCCGCCTGTGTGGTACTTGGTTCAGTAAGCCCCATTTACTGAACCAAGTGTAAAGAAGCCATGAATAAAGTGCTTTAACCAAGTCTGGGGACACAGGATTAAAGGGGCATTGTCTGGGGACACAGTCTTAAAGGGGCATTGTCCCAATTTTCCCCATGTCCCAGAAATGTGCTTAAAGGGCCAGCACCAGTCCCATAAAAGTCCATAAGTCCCAATACAGTTCTTAAAGGGCCATACACAGTCCAATACAAGTCCATAGGCCCAAATAGCATTTTTAAAGGGCCATACGCCCCAGGACCATAGTCACAGGGGAGGAGGCTGGCAAACAAGCCTCTCAAGGACCAGGTGGCGAAGGACACTTTGTCACATGGCTGAACATGATTATTTGTGTTTTGTTGCAGGAAAAGCAAAGTATTACGACATTCACAGTTAAAATGACATTCATACCTAAGAAAAATAACAAAATGTCTATTTATCACACTTTTTTTAGATTTTATTCATATTAAATTATGTTTCATATATAAATATTTAATATTTTCCCTGAATACAATTATATATAATAAGTGTGAGTGCATTAATATAAAAGAGGTACATTATGGTTGAACAAACATATAGTTAAATTCCGGGTTTTGCTTTGATTAAACAACAAGATTGGAAAACAGCTGATTGTTTAAAAATGAAAAAGGTATACAAAACATATTGTAAATCCACATAACAAGATAATTTGTGCTGTGATAAAATGCACTCACAAGAAGGTAGTGTAATCAGGCATGAATAAGGTGCCTCTCCAGATGGCGGCGGGGGAGGTTGGCCACTTCCTGGGACGTTCATCACTAAAATGCAGGACTTCGGGTGGTAAGTTGAAAAAAGCAGCTTTATATTGATACAACATAAAATAACTTTAAAATAAGTATATGGTCGGTCCTACGCGTTTCGCCCTTAGAAATAGGACTTCCTCCGGATCCACACAATAAAATAAATCATAAAATGACAAAAAAGCAGCCTAACAACCCCCACCCTCAAGTCTCCTTAAATAGGGCTAGTCCCTAAGTTCATTGGTGGTCCGGTAGGAATCTTCTTTCTTCCTTTTGGACTACTTTTCACCTGGATCACCTGTCCTGTCGGAATAATCTTCCTCCGTTTAACACAGCTGTTACTGTCCATAAGTGTAACCAGAAGTAAGATGCATTCCAGCGATACTTCCAAGCGTTCCACCTAGCGAAATTAGGCGTTCCCCCAGTGGCTCTTCCTGTGACGTCTTTCCGGGTGGCCATACATAACGCTCCGGGATCATGATAGTTATAAAGCCCCCTCTGGTGATTATCATAGAGTAGAGATAACACTAAAAAAAACTGTTATTAAGAAATAATAGCCGACAAGCAAAAAAGTTAATGGTTAAAAATATATGTAATTCCATCATATTTGTCAGTGGGGTTAGACTCCTTAAATGAATATAATAAATATACTTTTGTGGTATATATGCTAATAAAGAATTTTGTTGGTTAATTATAAAAAATATCATACATAAATTATAAATAAATTCTTTTTTTTGTCAACATTGTGATAAGTGCCTTAACAGATATACAATACGTTTACCATATTTGTAAGATAATATTTTGAAAGATAATGGTAATAAAATAGTGGATAAATAGTAGATACACATACCCCATATTTATTAAGGGACATCATGAAAGAAAAAATAAATAAACTGAACACCAAAATCTATACAAAAGAGAAGAGCCAATTACAATTAGTGTCATCTTGCAATTAGAAGACACAAACTAGATCCGCATCCACATTTCACCCTTTGGGTTCCAATGTTTGTAGTTTGTGGATCCAGTAAGTCTCCCATTGGGATAATTTCTTTACTTTGTCACCCCTCTCTAATGGGACATTACCTTTTCAATATCGATACATTTAAAATTACTAAAGGAAAATTATGGACAGTTATTACAATGGATCGGAACCGAATGCATTTTTTAAGATCTTTTTTAATATTATTTATATGTTCCACGAGTCTTGTTTTAAGTATCCTCTCTGTTTGACCGACATATTGTTTGCCACACGAACACTGCAGTAGATATACTACAAAGTCTGTGCGGCATCCAATGTCAGATATAATTTTAAAGGATTCACATGTAACGAAAAAAACAAACTGATCAGTTCTATCTATATGGACTGTATGAAAGGCTTTGCAAATATTGCAACCTCTAAACGAACCCTTGTTGGAAATATTGCTATCCGTTTTGTCTCCCAGAGCATAACTAGGTGCTAACAGGTTTTTTAGATAAAATTTTTTCCTATAAATAAGTCTAGGGTATTCTGGTAAGGAAGTGTTCAATACGGGGTCCGGTAAAAGAATGGGCCAGTATTTCTGTAAACCCCTCTTTATTCTCCAATTTTCAGAATTATATTGAGTTTTGAAAGCAAATCCAAAGCACACATTGGTTGGTAGGTAAGTTGAAAAAAGCAGCTTTATATTGATACAACATAAAATAACTTTAAAATAAGTATATGGTCGGTCCTACGCGTTTCGTCCTTAGAAATAGGACTTCCTCAGGATCCACACAATAAAATAAACCATAAAATGACAAAAAAAAGCAGCCTAACAACCCCCACCCTCAAGTCTCCTTAAATAGGGCTAGTCCCTAAGTTCATTGGTGGTCCGGTGGGAATCTTCTTTCTCAGAAAACTATTCCTGTCTGTTTGTGTGATCAATCTAATTTCTCTCTCCAAAGTGTTCTTTTTATATCCCTTCTCCAATAATGTATTTTTAATAAGAGATGTTTGTGACTTGAAATCGCAAAGATGTAAGCAATTGCATCTTATACGTGCAAATTGCCCCTCTGCAATTCCCCTTAGCCATGGTCGATGATGACAACTTTGATGGTGGACATATCCATTACCATCGGTTGGTTTAAAAAAACATTTTGTTTTTATTTGATTGTTCTCGCAGAACAGAGTTAAATCAAGAAAGT